TTTTTAAGGACATAGTTTTTTTTTTTTTCATTCATTTTGAATCTGATTTTGTTTACTTTTTATTTGTAAGACAAGGTTAAAAAAATTTTTAAGTTTTTATCAGACAATTCTGTTTTTTCATTATACTAGAACTGGTGCTTCTCCTTCTAATATATAGTCATTAAACACTGCATTCTGGCATTCTCAAGGAAGGCATGATGGGTTCAGGATCATCCTGTCATCCCGGCCGTTGTGCTACTAGATGATTTTTCCCCTCTCCCTTTAAAGGAAAATTCAGATGTGTGTAGAGATTACAATTTTCTGTACTATTCTGTTAGGGCAGCATCAGTAAAAAATTGAGAAACAAATGAGAAGGAAACAATACGACAACAACATACCAAATATCAATGGCTCGAGAATTTAATGTTTGAAATAACGTAGGTCAAGATTTCTAATTTTTGTTTAAGTTTTGTCACTTGTTAGTCTGATTAATTTTTTATTTTATGTTTGAAATATTGTGGCTCAAGATTTCTTATTCTCATCTGAAATATCATCACTTGTTAATATTGTGAATTACACAATTTCACAATTACCTAATGACAAAGTGTCTGCCATAAGATTATTTCTTTAAGGCAAAGGAATTAAAAATATTCTTAATTCATAGCAATAGACTTTGTTCTTAAAATCATCTGATGAAGGTAACTTTTAACTCGAACAAAACTCCTGTATGGATTGTTATGTATGCTCTTGCTGTGAAAAAAAAAAAAAAAAAGGATTGCAATACAAAACGGGGTTTGAAAGTTTGCATCTTTCTTTCTTGAATGCCATTCGTTTTATCTGTCTATGGTGTCAAGAATGACATTGATTGAATTTTGCTAACTTCAGTTAGAAATCAGTCATAAAACAACAATAGATTGGAATATCTACTTTAAAGGTTTTCACAAAAAGGAAAAAAACAACTTTTGTTCTTCCAAGAGTGGATATTCAGGGGATTATGCCAAGAAAGCAAAGAATATATTCTGGTAGACTTTCCCAATCATTTTGCTGCAACATTGATGACTGCCATTTGGGAAAACATTGCAAATGGCAGCATTATGTTTTCAAATTGCTGGAAAGGATACAAGAAAGAGGAATTAAGAAATGCTGGGTATGAATTATTCACTGTGAGTCACTGTTGTAATTTTTGTAGACTCCAAAACTGGATGTCATGACCAAATTGTGGAGCGATTGTGAGGCAGGGCTAACTATGGAGAAATAAACGCCAGTGGGGCACTGCTTACCACCATTTAATCATATTTGATACAATTTATGTGGTATCGGTTATATTTAAAAACTGAAATTTTTCTGCAGTATTGAATGATATTTGTAATTTTATGCCACCTGTTTAGATTGAATTTCATTTTGTTTTGCTATTTTTATTTATGTGTAGTATATTCTAGATTTAAAAAAATTTTTTTTAAAAAATTACTTGTTACAGATCTAATTTTTTTAATCTTTTGAACTCTATTGTTTCATAATTTTTTACTTGGCAATAATTGGTGCCCTCCCCCCCCCAAAAAAAAGAAAGGTGCATTTTTAACTGATGCTGCTTTAACCTCTTCGTCGTCCATAACGCATCTAGTGCGTTCAAGTGAAACTTCTGCAGGGTGTTCTTCTACATTTTAAAACTTTTAAACGTTTAAAATGCTTTCTAAATGTTTACTTGTTTGATTTTTTATTTTTGTTTGTTCTAATACCTCCTAGAGGGCAGTACTAATCAGGCATTCTATTTTTAATTGAATTTCCCCCTAGGTTTTATGATTATTCGTGCCATTTTACATAAGATACAAAACAGTGAGAGATCTTCAATATCTACTCAGTAGAAAAAGAGAAAAAATGAGGTTATGAATTAGAAAGACAAGAAGAATATACATTTGATGAGTACAGTCAATAATAACTGTAATGTTAAAACACGGAAAAGAACTGTAAAAAAACAAATAGTTGTAAAAGATTACAACAACAAAATGGGAGGAGTGGACCGCCTGGATCAGATGTTATCAAATTAATCCTGCTGTTAGAAATAAGCAGAGATATTATTATTATTTTTCCATTATGCTTTATTTCCTTATAATTTTACTAAATATTCATTTAGATTCACCCACTATGAAAATTATGTATGTACAGAGAAAACAACATTACACGTGAAAAACAAAGGCCCGCTGTGGAGAAATTATCGTGGACTGGAGAGAACAGTGAAAGGATTTAACGGAATAGTAGCCAATTTTCTGATCTTAATTAAATTGAATTTTTAATTATTTATAACTTTCACTACCAGTAACCATTTGGCTTTTCTCCAAATTTCTATTTTTTTAACCCTTTTTGTCCTATAAATATGCAGTTTTTTAATCCAGTAGTTTACTTTTTTATCTTCTCAAATATGCAAATAAATAACATTGTTTGAATTTTTCCATTAAAAATTTTGCAAAATAAAATGTTACAATATATCATTATTTTTTGTGTATTTTCCTATTCAGAGTTTATTTGCTGTATATTAATTTGCAGTTGTATGAATTTATTATACACATTATTTAGAAAATTTACTTAAATATCATAAATTTTGAAACTTTCCTACAATACAACAGAAGAAGGACTGTCAAGTCCCAATGTTAAATCTTTTATTTCATGTATTTCAGTTTTTCTTTTCTCTATACAAAATGTAATATATCTTGTTGGAATCTCTTTCTGTGCCATAAGAGCATAAAAATTGGAAAACCATCTAGTTTTGTTGAAGGTAGGATCAGGATCTCCTCAGCCATCTCCTTTCTGACTTAAGTACTCTACATTTATATATCAAATGATTAGCTAAAATATATATTCTTGTTAACTCTTTTCATTGTTTGTAAGTTTGTTTTAAATGACTCTTGCAATACTAAAGCTACACTTAGTTACACTCTACTGTACAGTCTGAATCACCTTGTTAGATATGTCAAGAAAAATTAATCAGGAAGTATAAAAAGGGAGTTTTTAATTTATTGTGTTTTTAGAAAGCTAAATGCACAAAGATTACTTTTGTGTGCTGACTGGACTTTTAGTATTAAACTATAAAATTAAAAGCTTGAAGCTTAAGCTACACTTTAGCATTGCCTAATAGGAGAAATGCAACATTAGATTTTCAACTTAAGAACAGTCCATAAAAGCATTAAAACAAGAAGAAATGTTCACAATCCTTCAGATATTTAATAAAGGTTCGATTAGTTCTTGGATTCCTAAAAGTTTTCTCTCTTGACAACCTAATTTTTGATAAGAGTGATTCCTCTCATCCTGTTCACTGTTTGTAATTAATTATATCAACATTGAAAAATTTTAAATCAGATTTCTGTGCATTTAACTTCATCAGAAGCATAATGTCAAAGAAACTATATAATAAAGGGAATTTTTACAAACTTGAATTAGCAAGACTGAATTTAAAATTTGATTTGTGATGTTCCATTGAATAAGTATTAGTACATTTCAGTTACTAAATTACATTATTTTTCTAAAATAACACTTTTCATACTTTGCAGAATCCTCTTTTAAATGGAAGTGATCTCTCAACTGTTATTGGACGAGGAACTGGTGATGCAAGTTTTGATGAGTCTGGAATAGCAAAGTATCAAAACAGAAGAACTGTAAGTTTATTTAAATGTTGAGTCTGCTGTAATTTTGAATTTTCTATTTTATGAATGCGGCCAAAAATGTATTTCAAATTTGAATTTGTGTATGAATACTTCTAGGCAATTAATAGGCAATTTTTAGTGAGTACAGAAAATATGAACAAGTTTTTTTCAAATTTCCTTGTTTTATTATTATTTTTTAATATGTAATAATTTTAAGCTTTTTAATATTAGTTGGGTGTTTTTATAAATAGAACAATTAAATCGACAGATTTTTTTTGTCAACTTTTATTATCTTACGATTGATTTTTAAAAATCTGGTAATCATTGTAAACTTTTTAATATTAATAAACTGGTATTTTATAACTAGAACAATTAAGTGAAAATTGTCATTTTTTAAATTAATTTTCTATAATAGTAAATTTGTGTTCATTGTTTTTGTCCGTATCATATTAATTTTCATGGTACATAAATTGTAACTGAAGTACATTTTATGGTCTCTTGTACAGTGTTGCAAAAAAATATGTGTTATAAGGGCTCATTCTCTATGTATGAAAAGAGCACTTCAATCAACAGTTGGCAAGGACTGATAATTTTACTCTGGGTAATTTTAACTAAATTTTCTGCTTTGATATTTCAAGTTGCATGCAAAGATGCCTTTGAGATGTGTGAACGATTGTTTGATTTGGAGAGAGGTCACATCACTGGTTTAACCCTTTTGGCGAGCAGTCACTCTTTTTATCAGTTTCTATCTCCAAAATGAAAGCTGCAAAATTCCATTTAAAATACATACGATTACAGCTTTTAATTTTATAAATATATAACAGATGGCAGCACTAATATTCATTCATGGAAATAACGTAGGAGAAATTCTTTATAGGTCTAATTTTGAAGCAGTTCCCCTCTCTCCCGAATTCCTTTTGCAATTTAAATCTTCTGGATTTAGAATGAGTAATTTTATCTGAAACCTTTTTCTGATCAAAATTATTACTTGAACTCGTATATATTAATTAAAAATGGGTGAAATTAAAAGATGGGACAAATATGTCCCAGCTGGCATGTAGGAAATGCTGCTACTAGGCGTCAAAACCGTTCAATTTTTTTTATTCAAGTATCATGTTCATTTTATATACAGATATTGCAAATTTATATGTTTTAATAAATTACAGTACTGTTAAAACTTGAAAAAGATTTAGTATTTTTTTCCAAAAGAAATGAAAATATAACCCTGTAACATGAAATGTCATTGAATACTGAATGGATATGTATTTATCTGTGAGTCACCATTGAAAAATATCCTAAGCAGAGGAGACAAAAGTGAAATGTAAATAAACATGACTGCCTTCTAAACATTCTCCTTTTCATACCTGTAGCAAATAAAGTACTGAAGCGAAAATCACTGCTTCCAACCTATTATGAAATCATTAAAAATAGCTAAAAAGTCGTAAGGGATCAATTTTTTACTAAAAGATATTTGTTATTTAGGAAATATGGTCAATATTTTCTAGACAATTATTCAAAAACATTTTCATAGTTATCTTGAAGTTTCATCTGTCTGCTAGAATAATCTAAGACTTCTATATAAGCATGTTAGGAGAATTTACACTCGGGGCAAGACTTGATTTCATTGCTCTAGATACTTGGTGGGACAAGTGGTATCCCCACCATGTCATAAATTACCTTAAAGGTTTACCTGTTTTTTTTTTTTTTTCCATGATGTAACATTGTATTAGGAGCTAATTATTTATGTGTCAAGTTTTTTTTATTTTCGAAAAATTTTTCTGTATGTGCACCAAACCTCAAATGGTTAAGAACAAATCTGTTTAACTGATTGTATCATTCACCATCTTGCTCAAAGAAATATGGTAGTTTTTTTATATTCACAATGAACTATCAGAATTAGAACTAGTCTCAAATATGCTGTATAGTATTCGAATGGAGACATGTTATCTTTAATGACAAATCGCTCTTCTCTTTCAGTGCTGAGAACAGCTGCATATATAGTGAGGAGGAATAATCACCAGCTTTATAGTCTCACACTTGTTAAGCAATGCGATACCATTACTTTGGTGCAGTAGTAGGAAAGAGTCATATTTTGGGCAGCCCACTCTCTAATTCAGCAACAAAGAAATTTGATTGACTTGCAGTGAAGTAAAGAACAGTTTGCAACCAGCATTCTGCAAGAAATTTGCAGAATATTTGCGACAATTTAATATTTTCCTATGGCCATCCAGGTCCCCAGACCTATTACCAGTAAAACAGTTTGAGAAGGATATTGCAGTTTCTGAGAATGGAGCTGAATCAGCTAGAAACATGGACAATTTAATTTATTCTTTGCCGCACCAAATATCAGTTGGTCTTGCTTCCATGGGTGGGGTACTCATCTATTAAAATATAATCATCTTGTTTCCATCATTTCTTTAACTTTTGGGGGCTAAATCATTATCATATCTTCCTAAATGATGTTTTGCAACTATAGTTCAGTTTTTTATGCGAGCATCCATATATATAATTTTTCAACAGGATGTGTTTTAGAAAAGATCCATTCAATCATATTTTTATGCAGTATATTTTGTACTTTATTTGTTTTTGAATGGTTAAAATTAATAATTTATACCTCAGTAAAATTCAGTGCAGATAAATTTCTATAATGTTTAAAAACACAAATCTTTAAATTTCTTTATGGTAGAGTATTTCTTATGTGAGAACTGTTCTCATTATCATTAATCTTATAGCAAAAAAAATGATCCTTTGAATTCAGTTGCCAAGCAAAAAGCTTTCTTTCAGTGATATGCTAAAAGTTAATTTTTTTATTTTCATAATAAGTGAAAATAATGGAGCTGTGTTTCATATAATATCTCTTTTCTAGATGAGCAGTTCTGACCGTACTTTGATTAATGCTTTTAGAGAGATCAGTAATATGGCTGATAGGATAAACTTGCCCAAAACTATAGTTGTGAGTATATTGTTTTTATTTGCATAAAATAAATATTTTTTATTATTTAATGAAATATTTGGTTCTGTTTTGCTCTGATTTTTGTTATTGTCTGTAATATATAAATTATCTATTTAATGCCTGTCATTAAGAATAACTCCCCACGAACTCAGTCTTTGTGAGGAAGGGTGGAGTACCTCAGGATTGCTCTGTGATGATAATTACCCTCTTGATGAGTCAGATTCAAGATCCTGAAGCCCTATAATCTTTCTTCTCTTCCTTTTCCCTCTTTTCTTATTGCTCTAATTTTTCCTTCCCTGTTGTTTCCCTTTTCAGAGGTTGGGATTCAAAGTGAGATGCTGATATATCCCTTTGTTTCTAGTTTTTCATGAGAGAAAATCACATATGTGTTTGCTGAGTAATGTGACCCATAAGGCTATAAAAGAGGGTCCTGGTAATTAAGGGGCAAAATACTGTGCCCAACACTCTCGGTTAGCTCTGGTGCGGGAACCTGTCCTGGTCTTTGCTTCAGATTGAAAAGGTGGCACTTAGCTGTCACTAGTCCTTATTGTCAGTGGCTTGGAGATAAGATCTTCGGAAAGCTGGCTGTGGAGCTTCAAATTGCATATATACTTGGTTAACTCTGGTGCAGGAATCTCTGCGTTCCCTCGTTTAATTCTTTGGTGGATGGGGACATATGGTCCAAATCTTTTTTCATTTTATGTGTGGGCCCTTTAAATAAACATCATATGTTAGTTATAAATTCAACATAAAAGATAATGTGCAAATGTCAGCATTGATCAAATTAAATCTTTATGTCACTTTCTTGTAATCATCAATACAACAGGCAAATTTCAAAAACAGTCACCTTTTTTCATACAAAATGACATTCATTCATATGCGGGCAAGCCGTAGATCATCAAATGGCTCCATTCAAGCAATCTGTTAATTGAAACCAGTTCTTCTGGACAGTCTGCAACCCATCTTGGACTAAACAAACTTGGAAGTGTTGATGTGTCTTTGCACACAAAACCTTAAACTTTTGTTATGGAGATAGTTCCCAGAGTTCAATCTACATTTTATTTCAGAGAAAGAATTCATTTTTGAGCTTTTGGATCAGGAAGTTAATCTGCAGATCAAGATACATGAAGTAAATCAATATGAAAGAGGTGATTCAGTCCTTCAGTTTACCTATCTACCCAAGCATATGTGTATATGTTTATATACACACTTTTGGGCCCATCAGATATCTTTACTGCCCTGTAAGACCAAACATACCTAACCTCCAGCAATGATTCGCATGGCAGCATTTTTACCACTGAAGGATACCATGCTGCTGAAACTAACATGTGTACCAATGCTCTGGTATTTCCACCACTGTATTCAGATTCAAAGTTAAATTTACCTTTCTGAGAGTTTTATAACAGGCCCAATACAGGTGAAATAGTTTCCTGTTTCAAGTTATCTCCGGTACGTAACCAAACTCGAAGATTAAACTTTCCTTCATACATTATTTCTTGAGATTTTTCTCTGAACTGGATCATCTCGGATTTATTGTCAAAACTGGCAACAATATTATATACAAAGAAGCTATGCAAGAGTTTAGCTATCATCTCGATATCATATTGAAAATTTTTCATGTATGTTTGTAGATAGAATTCTATAACAGCTGCCAAAAGGAAAGGACTACTCTTAACCCCAAATATTACTCTAGTATGATGAAATTTTTTTCTTTCTTCCACATCATTCCACCAGAAAAATCGAAGCCAATCTCTATCTGGAGGCTTTACACTGATCTGTAAGAAAGCCTTCTCAATGTACAGAAGGGAAGGAATTAGTTCTATCAAATTTGGTCTGCACTCCAAACGCTGATTTAGATAGGAGACCATTGTTTCCTCGCAGACACATCAAACACCGGACGAATTGATGTTGAGATATTTTCTTTGATCACTGGTCTCTGCGGCAAATAATGTCCATAGTCAACCACTACATTTTCTTTAATTTCTTTGATCACCCTTAAGTTACACCAGTCATTATAAACTGCATTGTATGAAGAAAATAAATTTTGAGATAGAAGTTTCTGGGTGGCAGACCAATGACGTTTCAAAGCTAAATACTTGTGTGTGGGGAGTGGTGAATGATTCTCTGCCCATGGAAGTGCGACAATTTTTTTGTCACCTCAGCAACTGTTTGGTTGTAAGATCTAGAGATAATTCAAAAGTGAAAGGATATGTCAGCAGGTTACCAGGAAGAGGGTGGGTGACAGTTCTAAAATGCTGAACATCAAATGTTTGGAAAAGTTAACTTCAATTTTTTTTTTATTTATTTATTTATTGTTTCAAATGAAAAGTTGATTTTCTTTATATTGTTATTTTATTAATCTGAAAGCTTTTTTCAGTTTGAGCCAGTTTTTGACATTAAGGAAATTTGATTATAAGTAACAATTAACTTCTCATTGAAGTTAACTATAATGTTTTCTATTTGCTTAAATGTATATTTTAAATGAAATTTTATTGAAACACAATATGCATACTTCGTTCATTGAAAATAATCATTTATGCAAATTAATTTGCTGATATGCTGCAGTTTTTTAAACGTATTGCTCTAGGTTGCTATAATTTTTTTTAATTTGTAAATCCAGTTATACTTTGTCATTTATAGTTGTCTTCATGTAATTTACATTGTCCATTCAGATTTTCATAATTAAAACTGTGATAAATGGCTACATTCCAATAAAGTTTTTACCATGAGAAGAATCAGTATTCATAGTTGCTCTTAAACTAGTTAATAATTAGTTTAATCAATGCATTATAAAGAAGAAGTTTGAAATTAACTTATTTTTTTCCAAATTCAACTTATGCTTTTTTCCCTTGCATCTTAAAAATAATTTGCTAAAATATCATTTTAATTTCCATCTACTATTTTAGGATAGAGCTAATAGTTTATTCAAGCAAGTGCATGATGGCAAAACTCTCAAAGGTCGCAGCAATGATGCAATTGCTTCCTCTTGTGTTTACATTGCATGCCGGCAAGAAGGTGTTCCACGAACTTTCAAAGGTGTGTTTCCATTCTTATGAATTTTAAACTCTAAATCAGATTTTTTTATTGTAAGATCTGGTTATTTGTACTCGGGTAAGAATTTTACTGTCTGTAAAAAAAAATTTTTTTTTCCTTTCAAAAGTTCTTAAATACAAATTATTTAAGGGATTTCTTTTTTATTTTTTGTTGCTATAAAATTAATAAACTTTTTATGAAATATTTTTTGTTAGAAATATGTGCAGTATCAAAAGTTTCCAAAAAGGAAATTGGACGATGTTTCAAACTAATATTGAAAGCCTTGGAAACAAGTGTGGATTTAATAACAACAGGAGATTTTATGGTAAGTTTTCATGATAAAATATTACTCATCTGTAGCCTAATTATCACCATCTTAATCAGTGGCATTATCTAAAAAAGAATTTCTCTCTCCCATTTGTAGTAGCATTATAAAATTTTAAAATAATTAGAATGATTTTTTTTTAATAATAATAATTAGCATACATCTGTTTTACTGAAAGGCAAAAATCTGTCATTTTCATGGATTGATAGTTCCAATTTTAATATTGCTACATACTCTTAACATTTATGCTATCATAAATTGAATATTAATTTTCTGCAGTGTAAGCAGGCACTTTATATTAGGTATAATATATCTTCATTGTTCATAATTAATATGGAAAGAAAAAATAGAATTTTTTTGTGGTACCATATGTTGCATGTAAGCATCTTGCCGCTGTTAATTAGAATATTTCTTAATTTATTGCTATAAAATATAAATCTCAAAAACTATTTGATAAATTTTCCAAGTTTAGATGTCCTATTTTATAGTAAATTATTAATTTATTAAACTACAGTGGAGAAGCTATAATACTGTATATTGTATAAAATAAGTTTACAATACACTCCCGATTATCCGTGGAATTGGGTGGCGCGGCCACCGCGGATAACAAAAATTGCGGATAATCCGAAAAAAGCTAAAAACGGGTATAGCAAAAGAGAAAACAATCATTCCAACTTTGAAAAATTGTTTTATGTACAATAAAACGTAAAATAAACAGCAGGAAATGTTTAACTAACACTTAATATTTTAGTATATCACTCGAAACTAACCTAAAATGCATTTTGTTAATGAAAACAGAAAAGTGCTTTGTATACTTATGAGAGGCGTCAAGGATACACAGAAAAATTAATACATATGTACTCTTTTAATACTTTAATGTATTATGTAATTACAAAAGCATAACTGTAAAACTACACCGTTTCGAAGAAATCAGTCATTTGTGTTTGCTTCTTGCTTTGGAAGCATTTTCTCTTGATCCGAGATTGCATTTTTCGTAGCATAAGTCTCTCGGCCAACTCTGCATCGTCTTGTTCTTCCAAATAGCTCAGCAGTCCGTTGACTTGTTGCAAAGCCGCTTTGTGAGTCTTCCCCATCTGCACCAGTGGGCTCTTCTTCGCCTTCACTTCACTGTCCTTCATTCTCGATCTTTCCCCTTGCTTTCTTCACAATTTCGTCATCTGTCAAGCATTCAAAGCCAAGTTCGTTGACGTCACACTCCAACAACCCAATGTTTTCAGCATTGACGTTCTCACCACCCGGAACTGTTTTCACCATATCGGCAAGAGTTGCCATGGACATGTGTGCATCTTTATTCGCTTCTTCACAACTCAAAGGGGTTAGTTTGTTGTTGGCTTCAACATTAGGCATGAGTTTTCTCCATGATTTTATGAGGGTTGACGGTTTCACTGAGTCCCATCCAGATGCAATATTGTAGATGCTGTCCAAGATTGTGTAGAGTTTCCAATGCTCTTTCAGATCATAACCTTCTTCAATTTTGGTCATTAGCAGCTTGGTTGGGTATGTTCTCTTCATTGTTGCAATGACTCCTTGGTCCATGGGTTGGTTTAGCGCAGTAACGTTTGGGGGGAGAAACATTGCAAAAAATTTGTCCATCAGAAGACTTTAGCATGCTTGTTGCTGGGTGAGAAGATGCATTGTCGATCAATAGCACAGGTTTTTCGATTTAACATGTTTACACACTTGAAGAACAAAGAGTTTTTCGAACCATTCTTGAAAAATGTTTCGGTTCATCCTTTTTTTTTTTTTTTTTTTTCTTTCCAATGAAAACAAGTTTTTGTCCACCGGTAGCGTTACTGCGAGACACTGTATTAATCCTTTCCTTGCTGATTTTATGACCCGCCGCTTTACTTTCACTTTCAAATGCTAAAGTGCGAGTGGAAGACAATTCCACAAAAGTCCCGATTCGTCGGCATTGTAAATTTGTTCAAAAGATAACTCTTCTTTTAAAAAAATTCTTCAAATTCATGGTGAAAATCGTCAGCTACTTGTTGGTTACCGCTAATTTTTTCCCCCATGAAGTCCAATTTCTCAAATTCCATGTCACTGCTTAAAACGAGTTAACCAGCCCAAAGACGCATCAAAATTTCCTTTCAGGTCTAACAACTCAAAAAAGGTTTTTGCCTTCGCCGCAATGATATGACCATTTACAGGAGTACCCTCTTTTCGAACTTGAGCTAACCATTCTGTCAATGCCGTGTCTTGCTCATCAAAGGTAGAACCCTTCATAGTTTTTTGCGTTTTCATAGCGGAAGCATTGTCCGACATCGATGCAAAGTTCACCAGTTTGTCTTTTTTTTAGAATGTCACGCACTGTTGTTTCCAATATTCTCTGCTGCCTTGTAGCACCGTTTGCTACTTTGGAAATTAATTCTAGTTTTTGCGCAATCGTCAACACAACCTTTCGTTTTCCTGACATTTTAAATCGGTATCAAAAAGCACAAGCACTGAACACAACAAAAGATAAAAATTAACTCCGACTGGTTCGCAAACACTATCAGGCTTAAACTAACAATGGCGAGTGGGAGGAAGAGGACGTGTCAGTAAGATTAAGATGAGAGAGGGCGGTGAAGCAGGCACTGCAAGGACATCAGAGGGAAAGGTTCCAAGAAGGCCTGGGATATTTTTGCTATAAATAAGCACCATGTTAGCAAATTGAACGTTTCGTTCAGTTTTGTGAACATTTTAATTTTCTTTTCTTTATGCTTGTAAAAAAAGAAACTTTGTGCGGCAGGTGCTGATAGTCCGCCCGCGGATAATCAGGAGTTTACTGTACTTTTTAATATGACTTTGTAATGGGGTAAACACAAAGGGAAAAAATTACTTCCTCCCCCCAATCTGTTGCCCCTGTTTGTAGAGAGGTGGATTTAATTTAAGTTTTTTGAAAAGGAAAAAGTCTACCTAGGTTAGTTGTGCTTGCGATTTGAATTTGTCTGTTTATTTAAACCATACAAAGACTGTTTATTAGGTTGATTTAGTTGGCTGAAAAAGAAAATATATTGTTTCTTTAACCCTTTGACTACTAACGGGACTTATATGTCCCACTATAAGTTTAAAAAGTACTTAGAATCTCCTGAATGCTTGGGATGATCTTCCAATAGTTGGAAAACAAAACGTCACTGTGCTATTTGTACACAAATGAACATAGAGAGAAAAGAACAAAAAGAGTTGCCCAATGTTTAATGTTGGGTTATGCAAAGAATTTGTTTCCTGGTACCTTATGATGTGAAATCTATTTCATATAATAGGTGTTCAGAATAATAAATGTGCCTATGGTAAGTCGATCACTAGGTGTGGGACATGTATCTCACCATTATCTATGGCTGGGATATACGGGTCCCAGCTTTTAACTTAAAACCGTTTGTCAAAAAAATCCCAAATGCTAAATTTACCTTATTTATGACATATTTTGTTCACTTGGATAGAAAACGGGTTATTTTTTTTTTTTTAAGGGTTAAGAAAATGTTTTTAAATAAGTCATAGTTTTGTAATAACATGTTGGAATATTTTATAAAATTTTATAGCGTAATGCATAAGCCAGTCCCTCATGTAAAAGTGCAGCTATTTTGTATTCTTCCTCTGATTAATGGTGAACAGGGAAATTGTAATCATTATTTCATTTACCTGTAACTGAATTCCATATGTTAAAAAATGATTCATTTTATCATGCACACATAATTAATTTCTACTTTTTCATATTTTTATTCCAGTCACGATTTTGTTCTAATTTGGGACTCCCTACTACTGTTCAAAAAGCAGCAACTTATATCGCACGTAAAGCTGTGGAGCTTGACATTGTGCCTGGGTAAGACTATTGTATGATATATGTTATGAGCATAACCTTATGCTACAAGGAGCATAAGGTTTTTTTCTTTTTATGTAGTCCAGTAGATTTAAATGCTTATGTTTAAATATAATTTTATTATTTGTTTTATTTCTATAATATATTACACCCTTTTGTCTTAGTACTGTTCTCATATCTTTATGTATTTTTAATTCATTTTCCATTGGATTAAAATGTATAAGAAATTATATTGTAGAAGCTTATTGTGAGTACTTTGTTATTTGCATTTGGCTGTTCTAACATGATTTAGAGTACTAAGTTGTACATTTTGATTTTTAACTTTGCAAAAGAGTTTTTTAAATTTTAGCAATTAAAAAACATTTATTTTTCCTTTCCTTCTCCAAGAAAACCTTATGCAAATTACTCTTCCAGAATGGTAGTGAATTAAAAAATAGAAAATGATGTTATGAATACAACCAGATTTCTTTAGCAACTTTGTGGTACAGTCCTGCAGAAAATTCATCAACATTGTGGTGCTAAATTTGTTAGCAGTTAAAATTCTTTATGAATTTTTTACATGTAACTGTGCAAATATTATTTCATTCTTTACACATACGTAAAAACTAAAGTATACAGTGAATATAGTATCAGTTCTATTTAGTAACAGGTTAAATTCACATATAAACTTGGTAATTGCTGTAGCTGAATGAGCATGGATTTCTCTAAAATTTTAAATAGATGAAACTGCCTCTTAAATGGTTATCAGGGATTCAAATTTTCTGATAGTGGAATCTTAGAATGTTCAATTTCATCTCACTTATATGCTATTGAGTAAAATCTGGTAGTGCAATGGTAGTCAAGTAATGAAGCAAAATTCAGAGGAAAGCTAATCGAGCTGTAATCAAATGTTTTCTTAACTTTAATGTTAAAGTTGGTATCATATGTTATCATGCTGAATAAATATGTTTTTATCCAACTAAACACATTATATGAAAGTTTGAAAATGGTCTGAAAAGAGAATAGTTAATCAATATGGAGTTTTACATGAGGTCCTATACTGCAGTAAATGGCATCTCCTACTATTCAAGTAGATAAATACACATATATATTTTTTTAATTGATGTAATAAATTGTGACACATTGAAAAGATTGCTATTTGACATTTAAGTAGCCAGAAAGCTCAAATAACTGGAATATTTTGGGATTTTGGAAAAAGTGGACAGATTTGTTATGCTGTTATAGAGTTTGTTATACTAGTAGTATTTTTAAAGTTGCAGGATCCTGACATTAAAAAAAATCTTAATATATGAACTTCATTTAAAAATGGATAAACAATGGCAACGCAATGTAAAAAATATTTAACAGTCAGCGTAACTGTTTAGTATTTAAATAAATAGAAAATGATCTGCTCCTTTAAACTTCTGCCAAAATGACTGGTGCAAGTTTGGAGACATCTTTCATATTCAGCAGGATTTCAAAGCCAGATAAGGCCATGGGATACTTTGAATTTTCTGAATGGGTTTCTTCGTGATGTTTCTTCTATTTATTTCTGCCAGTCTTTTCTGATATTCGATGCATCCAGTAAATGAATTTACGTGATTTTGCTTACAAAAAATGCATTTAGTAGGATCTGTCTTCTTGAGAATGCATTCATTCGCTCTGTGGTTTGAACCGCATTTGCAGCAATGTAAGGGATGGTGACATCTGTGTTGGGTATGCCCATACCGCTGGCACTTATAGCACTGGGTAGGGCGACTAAATAAATAGAAAATGATCTGCTCCTTTAAACTTCTGCCAAAATGACTGGTGCAAGTTTGGGGACATCTCTAACCAACTTTTTTATTCAGCAGGATTTCAAAGTAATTAAAAAGATGTTTTACTTTCGTACTTTCACTCCAAGAAATATGTCTGAATTTTTTTTTAAATCTTACATATTTTTTTAATTCAAATTAGTAACAAATAAGATGACTTTTTTTAATTTTAGACTGGAAATTTCTCCTATAATTTGGCTTTTTTTTTTTTAATGCGAGTTCTATTTTTTTAATACGCTCAACTATCTGGAATTTTCGCGTATTTGACATTTTTCTAAGCTTTTACTGTATAAGTGACTTTGAACAAAACTGGATATAATATTTCTAGAGACTTGAGATATTTCATTTTGAAAATTAATACAATGTTTATGAGTAATAGTTAAAGTGTAATGCAGCAAAAGAACTAAGGAGTTGACATCTAATGTGCAATATCATGCAGGTGTTAAAAAAAAAAAATGTGAATGATTAAGAAATATAAGGAAAGAGATCATTATAGACAATGTTTAAGAAATTTGGAGAATGGCCAGCACTGATATATGTTTGTGACATTAATCCATTTTGGAAATCATCAAAGAATACTATGCTCAATTATTTCTTTCAATTCGAAATTTAAAAGGTAGCTGTATAAAGTTATTTGAATTTGTTTTCAATAAGCATTTTGAGCATTAAAGTGTTTACTTAGAAACTACTATTGAATTTAAATGAAAAAGATACCAAAATAAAAGTTATGAGTGTCTGAAATTTACTTAGGCTTTTGACCACCACTACCATTAAAAGAATGGCGAACAATGACAACTGTCTCATTTTTTCTGACATGTCTATTTATTGAAACATGGAAAGAATGGCAGTTTATAATAATGTCATTATATTCAATAAATACATATTTAATTTTAAAAAATAGAGAGAAATAATTTTTGGTATTAAAAATTTATTATTTATTATTATGTTTAAAATTTATTATATGTATAAGATAATTTCATGCAATCCCCCCCCCCAATTTTAAAATTAACTTCCCATTGTGTGTTGTGGCTAAAGCTATTGTTAGTAAGTGGAGGAAAAAATGACTTCTACTTAAAAAAAAATATACAGTCAAAAGTCTTTAATCCGGACCTCAAAGCTATAAACTTTCGGCGCATGCGTAAACGCAATTGCGCAAAGGTATTATGTGCATATACGTGTACGCATGCACGTTTAATGTATAATGGACGGTATAAGCTAAGCTAAAATTATCTAATTATCTATTTCAGTTAATATTGCAGATTGTGTTGTTCCTTAATCTTCTAATTGGATACGGCTTATTATTTTTTGCAGACTGTTAGAGCAATTTTATAAAACTTAGCTTGAACTTTGAATTATGTCAAAAAGAATTTCCGATTCTCGAGCTGCCAAAGGATCTACAAAGTGAAAGCATGTTTCGATGTCCATCAAACAAAAAGTGGAATTGCTGCAAAAAATGGATAAAGGCATATCCTTTGTTTCTCTAACCATTCCGAATCTGTTTATCAATTTCACGCTGCTCTCTTGGGGGGGGGAACGTCGCGGCGGCACAATGAACTGGAAGTTGATCTGTCAGCACTATCCTTATCTTCAAGGGAGATGTTTTTATTTTATTCAGCTTATAATTCCTTACTAAATGTAGTATTTCATCTCGATGTACTCCGTCTTTGATATGATTTAAATCAAATTCCTCGTCATTATAAATATCACGAATACACATCAAATAGTTTTCTGGTTGCAATTTTCTAATTTCGACTACGCGTAATGTATGCTTTAGGCATGTGCGCGTTGAAAGAAATGTTTAATAAAGTAAACAAATAAAAATTAATTTTTTTTTTGTAAATTTTGATACCCTTTAGATCATATTTGCTCTTAATTTCATAAATTACGGTTTCATATTTTTAATTTTATAATTTCTGCATGCCATCTTACCAGATTTAAACTGATGATCTATAATCCGGAAAACCGATAATCCGGAATCGCCGAAGTCCCGATGAGCCCGGATTAAAGACTTTTGACTCTATTATTATTTTACTATTTTGATATTTATTGCTGTTGAGTATTCTTGAATTATTTCTGTATCGATAACTTTTTTTTTTTTTTTTTTTTTAGAATTTGTCTGCAAATGCTTTTTTAAAAGCTTTGATATTGACAAAATAAATCTGAAAAAGAATTTCTTAAATTTCAATTTTAAATAAGTTAGTTATCCCTTCATATTAATTTTTGCAGTGTCTACAGTGAGAGAAATAATTTTGCGGAATCCTCATAATTTGAATCTTCTTAAATGTACAAAGAGATAATTTTGCTTCATAATCATATAATGCTAAAAATAACTACATTTAAAAGTAATTTCTAAGGATGTGCTTATTGTGTAGCATTTTGTTTTGATATGATATTTTTTATAACATTGTGAAGTCATAAATTATCATTATTATTTATAGGCGAAGTCCAATATCTGTAGCAGCTGCTGCTATCTATATGGCCTCACAAGCATCAGAAGATAAAAAATCCCAAAAAGGTATGTTGGAAATTATTTGGCTTTTGGAAACATTACAACTTTACACTCGCATTCCACAAAGGTCCTCATCTGGCCTGTATTTTTGCAACAGTTTTTCATAGGCATATACATATATTTCCAGTTACAAAAATGTTTAAATGTCTTGGCAATTTAAATTTTAAAAAATCAAATTTCTAAAAATTAAGAAATCTAATTTTTTGTATGTTCTCTCCAATCCTTGTACTTTTATTTAGGAAAATCTTATTATGAATAAAAAATGTTCAACTATGATACAAAAAACTGACATATTTCATTTTAAAATTGAAAATCATATACTGGGTTTGCATCTGTATATAACTAAACATAAAATATTAGCTAAGAAAAAGGCTTCTTATGTTAATAAATTAACCCCTTAACTGCCGCGGGCGTATATATACGCCTTGCTCAGCCGATGCGTTAACTGTCCCAGGCGTATATATACATCCTTCCAAACTGCTATCATTTGCTTTGTGCTGCTACGCCTAAAATTATTCGCAAAGTTAACGCATCGGCTGAGCAAGGCGTATATATACGCCCGCGGCAGTTAAGGGGTTAAATTACAAGCATTTCTATGCAGATAGGCGTGAAAAAATTTATCAATACATATATATTCCAAAAAAGACAATTTATTTGCAGAATCTTATAGAATTCATGTTCTAAAAAACGCTGGCATATAGTTAAATTATTACATTATTTGTAGGAATTAAAAGTTTTAAACACTTTTAGATTAATGAATTTTTGTATGATTCTTAAGGTAATCAGAATTTCATAAAACGGTTAATAATGTATTTTTATCATTTGAAAACTTCTTAATTATTTGTATGCAAAACTTCTTTATAAATTAAAGAATGTTACATGCTAGTAAATCACTAAAGATTATCATTGATAGCATTTAAAGGGGGGGGGGGAACCAACCTTGAATAGTTCTAATTTATTTTTTAACCAACCTCTCAAGGCAAATTGGATGTCAGATTTTGAAATTAAATATCTTGGTCAGTTTTTGTCAAATATTTTGTGTTGTGTTTTATTTGTGATAATGTGTAGAAAATTTCTTGAATATAAGTATAGGGACCAGGCAACCATATGAAAGATTATGAAATTAATGTTTTTAATATTGAAAAAGTCAAAAGTCAATTATATTGTTTAAAGTATTTTTGTAACTGGAATTTATATATAATTTATATATTCCAGTTACAACTGGAATATGTATAACTGCTGATTCTGAAAATCTTAGATATATCTCTAACTATAGATATATATATCTATAGATTAGAAAACCTATAGATCTGAAAATACAGGCTGAGTATGGAGTTTTATAGATGCAGTTTATATTATGACATGATTTTTAAAAAACTTTTAGCCTGTTCTTCCAGCCCAGTCTTGGAAATTTAATAAAGGAATGCTTCTTTTACAGATTTAGTTCTATTTGTAAATAAATAACCATATTTTCTGAACATAAGGTTATTCTTATTGGGCTTGTATAATAAAATACATTTATCTAAGAATTGCTTTCTTAATTTAGTAAGCATCTTGTTTTATGAAAAACACAGTATATATTCTTAGAATTCTAATTTGCTGTGCCATTATGTAGTTAAATTTTTAGGTGGCTGTATATTCAGTTGTACTGTCACAAAATTATGCAAGATATTGCCCGACCATGTATTACAGATTTCTGTAAACATTCGATTTGGAGTGGAAGTGGGCATATCTATCAGTGATGTACGGATGAGTGCACTATTGTGTAAGAAAAAGGCCCTAAATGACCCCGCAACCTCCAAGAGGAAATACCCGCGCTTTTCACCCACATTCCTTCGACCTCTGAGAAGGGAAAATACGTAAGCTTTTCACCCACACCCCTTCAGTTAAACTGACCCATCTTGGCTCTCAGCCAAACTGCTCTCCCTAGTATGGTTAGACAGTATCATAAATGTGTTTGAATTGAGAATTGAAAAACTTATTGAATGAAGCTTTATAAGAATAATAATTATTGCTAAATTGTAGAAAAACAACTAATGAATAAAAAAGAAATAAAATTATGGATATTAGTTATTCTGTAGGAAAATATGCAGATAACTTTATGGCTTATTTAAAAAAGTTGACATTTTCTATTCAAAGCAGTTTTGACATAATTAAAATAACAGTAAATAGTGAGTGAATTTTTATATTTTTAAGTTACTTGATTATTAAAATTAATCATCCTTTACATTCCCATGTAAGTGTACATTTCTTCTTGATAAAAGTTATTTCTTATAAAGTAAAAATGCTTGATAAAATTATCTTCCTTGTATGTAAAAACTGGATGCTAAGTTTAATTTGTATTCATTTTAAAATAATATAGTATGAATTCATATAATTTCTTAGCAAGAAATGCTGTCTTAACTTTTTGCAAATATATTTCAGTGTATTTAATTTCATTTAAAGCCACATAATCCTAAAGTTAGCTCATAATGGCAGCTTTTAAATAATTTAGTATTTTTAAATGATGTGTGCAATCTGCATATTAATGCATAATTTTCCTCCCCTTATTGTTATTCTTAAAAAGTATACTAAAAAATATTCTGATATGCAAAAAGTAAGGGCAGAATTGATGAAACGTTCATATTTTAAAAGCGAAAAATAAAGGTAGAATTATTTTATCGTGTAGTTATTAAAAAAAAAGCTCTTATTAATAATGAACTTTTTAGTTAAACCTGTTTAGTAAATTATTTTAAAATAGAAGTTTTTTACGGTTATTTTCCTGCTTTTTTAAGTGCTGTGTAGAAACACTCCATGAATTAAATAGTGTACATTCATGCAAGCCATGGCAGTTTTGGTATTGCCATTATGTTAAATTGATAGTAATAAAATCCTCTCTATGTAGCAGTTGTTAGCTGGTAACTTTAAAATATTAATATTTCTTAAATCAGGGAGAAAAATTTTAATCTTTTTTATATCAAAAAATTTTGTGTTAAAAACACAAAATTGTATGTGAAGCAATAATTGTTTGCAGTTTGTGATGAATTTAATCTTTTTTTCCTCCTTTAATAACTTTGATTTTATTTATAACTCAGAATTTTATTCATCTTTCTTTTAAAGCTAGATATTAGTAACTTTGCATTTTTAGTTAATATTATACAAGAGCTTTACTTTCAAACACTATATATGGCTGCATGGCAATAATGATATATTTCAGATATTTTGCTAGTGGCATGCTTAATAGTATGTATATAATTACATACTTTCCTCTGTTATTTTAAATCTTAGGAAATATTTATTTACTGAACTTCTATTTATATATTGAAATATTTACAGAGATTGGGGACATTGCTGGTGTAGCTGATGTTACTATACGGCAATCTTACAAGCTTATGTATCCACGAGCTTCTGAATTATTTCCTGAAGACTTCAAGTTTCACACTCCTATTGAAAATCTACCTCAACTATGAGAAACAGTGTATGAAAAGAAAGTGTGGAAACAGACTAAAATTCATCAGTATCATTTCATATTCAGAATTTCATTCATCTTTCTGTTCAAGAACCATAGATCTCATTATAATATGTAAAGAAAGTGCAAAAAATAAACTGACATGATATGATCAGTCATAACTTCTTGGAGTTTCCTGCAATTCATCTAAGAGGGAAAAAATGACTGAAATAAACTAAAAAAAAAAATACTTAATGTTTTTATTTATACTTTATAACTTTGTAATGAAGATGATAAAACTATGCACTGTTTACATTTGTTATGAGTAGTATTAGTAGTTCTATTCTCAGTTTATGTATAGTATGCTATAAGACGCCATTAAAATTGGTTGCTTGAGTAAGAATTAAAGAGTAAAAAATTTACTTTGGAACTCATGTTGATAGAGTATATATAATGAAAAGATGTAGAAAGTTTTCTTTGTAGTGTATATAATAGAAATTTTTTATTGTAACCATGCTATATAATTAGCTTGATTTTAAAATTAAAAAAACTACATGCCACCTTTAAACACAGTTTTTTAATTTATCTGCAATACATATGCAAGTAATACATGATCAATTCAGAATTATGACAATTTTCCCTCATTCAAAATTGTAAATTCCTAAAAGCAAGAAGTATACAACTTACAGCTCCTCATCCTTCTAAAGTAAATTAAAATGTAATTCTTTCAAACTGTATGGATGTAAATATTGCTAAAAATGCTTTTAAAACTGTCCAAATGTAAATTAATATTCTGTGATCAAATATGCATATGTACATAAAGTTGTAAATCTACCCAAATGTAAATTGATATTCTGTAGTCTATGCATACGTATATGAAGTACTGTAAGATTTATTTTTTAAGTAGTTGGAATTGCAGTGTGTTATAATGTTCTTTCTGTCATTCTTTAGTTATTTCTTTCTTTAGTGAGCATTTTGTTTCTTCACTTAACTGTCTTATCATATCGGCAGGATACTTGTTTGACTGCTTTCATTTGTTAAAGGTTATTTGACTGCCATTCTTTAACTTTATAACTTTTCATGCAGTTATTTCAAATACGTCATAGTATAAGCCTAGTAAGACTACAAGATAATTATTGTTATTATACTCACAAGATCATATTAGACTAAAATGTAGTTATTACTATTACTTTTATAATTTACTTCTGTATTACCCACATAATGAAGATTTCTTGAGTTTCAAATACACATTTAAAGAAAGATAATTAGCTGTAGTTATTCCCTTGCATATTATAGAGTAAATCTCTTCTTTGTGATTTAAAATATTGATTCAGTCCATTGATCATCCATGCAATATAAATACATGAAAAAAAATAACACCAAGCTTGAGTAGTATTCTTCTCTACATAGGGTTTATTTTGTGATTGTATGGTGATAAAAAAATTTTGTTTGTCTAGACAGATGATTGTTAATGCATTAAAAAATGCACCAAGCTTGAGTAGTATTCTCTTCCTTTACAGAGAGTGTACTTTGTGGTTGTATGGTGATAAAAAAAAAATATGTTCATCTAGACAGGATGATTGTTAATTTTGCATAGGCTTTTCTGCATATTATTGCAAATTAGAGTATTTCTGTAATGAACTTGACTGCAAAGAGTCTTTTAGCATATTACCTCATGTCAAAACAAGGTCATAATTTTATTTAAAAATCCTTACACATTCACTATATTTTTAAGTGTAAAATTCCTTAAAACTAAGAATTGCAGATAATATATTTTCATTTCTTTTTTAGAAGCTCATGGGGAAAAACAGAAGATATATTAATCAAAATTTCTATGGGAATGAAATAAAATCATAAATAGCTCCTTTCCGTGAATAAAAACTTGTTGAAATATGTTAAAACTTTTCTTGAGTATCTTAGTGCAGCCTTTCAGTGGTTTCTTTTGCTGTGCAAAAGTTATGGTCAGCTGGGCATAACTATCAAAATTGATTTTGCAAATTAACTGTATTTTATTTTAATTTCAAATGTCTAACAAACAAAATAATACTAGAATATATGGCAGAACTGTAAACTGAATTAAACAGCAATCTTAATTTTTATTTAAAAATATGTGAAATTCCTTTCATATTGTTTTTACTCTAGTTGAAAGAGAGTGAACTGTAGTATGTAGTATCTGATTACATTTTACACGAGTATCTCAATCAAAGATACAAATATAGACTTTGCAACTGTGAACTTTATAACCTTTAGCATTTCTTATGGAATCCTGCTTTTAATAATACTGATTATCAAAAGTATACTGTATTTTAGAACTTTTTGCTATTAGAAGGATGAGATTTTCTTTTCAGAAATTTGGAGGGGGTAGGGAATTGTGAAAAATATTTGAAGACATGAGTTTATAAAAAGCAAAATATATTCCTTAGTAGCTTCAAATAATTATTATTGAATATTCTGTATGAAAGTTCATCTAGTGTACTTTATAATGTATTATAAAATTTCATTGCATTTTGTCTCTTTTGCCCTCCCTTCTTGAACTTTTACGACAAATATACTCTACCTTTAAAAATGGATATTAGGTACAAAAAGAAAAGAGATCAAAGGATTCATTTTTATGCCAGATTTTAAATCTTTCATTGTTTTTCATTTGTCATGACTTTGAATTTCTCAGGTATCATTCAGGAATTTTGTTTTGAAATTTGTCCATTAATTTATAAGCTTTTTTTGCACTAGACAGAAAATTATGTAGACAGAATTTAATGAGGTGAGTGATGGAGGAAATGCACATGCATCTAATATATTAAAAGAAGTTTCTACATTTACAGTGAGAGCAAGCAAAGAAAATATATCTGAAAAAAAAAAAGTTAATTACATATTTGTTAAAAAAATTAGTCATTACTACATTTAATGTAACAAAGGGATTCGCAATGTGTGACTAATTTTCCTGTATAATAGTGTTATTCTTCCAAGTATAATTAACTTTGTAGATGTTTCATACTAAAAAATGAAATTTTTATTGATTCTCAGAACAGCTGAAAACATGAGAATGCTTAGATAAGGGAAAGATATTTCATTGTTTTAAAAGTAAACATACATAGATTGTTTTCATATTTGAGGTTATTGTAATCTTCAGATATTGATGCATTAAAAATATGTATACTTTTGATGTAAGTGTATTCACCCCCTCTCTTCTGAATCTCTACTTAGGTAGACTTTGTTTACATTTTCTTTTCAAAGAAAATAGCTTATAAACTTATTGTTATTTCATGTTTTGTAATATTCAAATCTATCTGCTGAAGGAAAAAGCTTGAGTTGCATAGCAATATTGAAAATATGTTTAATAATATTTTTTATCTTTTTAAAGTACCGTATTTGACGGCATATAAGACACATCCTTATTTTGAAGGCCACAGACATGTAGATGTAGAAAAAGTTATGTGTGTCTAGATCTTTATCCGGGCTAAAAATAGCATTCAGTATTGAAAGTTAACCCGTATCCTTAACGTATAAGATGCAGGTAACTTTTTTGAGACCAAATTTAGGGAAAAAAGGGAGTTTTATGTGCCGTCAAATACGGTAGTATAAAAGAAATTTCATTTTCTTATATATGTGTGTGTGAAAAATCATAAAAGTTCTTGAAAAATATTTTGTTTAAAATTAGTAATTCTAAATAATTTCTTTTTCATATCAAGCCAAGACGAAAACCATATGAAATGAAAGCGAATACAGAAACGAAATTATTTTAAATTACTTTCCTATTTCAGAAACTAGACTTAATTAAAATTTAAAGACATGGCAGTTTATAGCCTTTTTTTTTTTTTTTTTTTGTAGTTTAAAGGGGCTTTGTTCTTGAAGGACTATTGTTTTCGTTTTGCGATTTTGCATTGAATGACTATAAATGTCAGTTTCACTTTTCGAACTGTTGCCACCAAATGTTAGAGTTCTGCATTATATTTGAAGAAATTAAATAATGAAAAATCTGCATAAATGTATGTATATTTCTCGCATTGTGATAAAACAACAGTACATAGAGCCATCGAATTTTGAATGACGTAATCTTCCTTTGAATATGGGCATTTGGAAAACCGAATTTGGAATTTGTTTTGTTATCAATTTCATATTTTGTAAAACGTTAACGAATTTTTGATTACCAAACTCAAGGATTTCAAAGCAAGTAATGGCAACACTCTACAGGGGGGGGGGACATTTTATCTCCAGCGTGCAGAACTGTGTATCGGAACCTCTAAAGATATGCTCATTTTAAAATTATTTTGCAACATTTTTGAAAAATTTTGTAGTTATTTTCTGAAAGAAAAGAATAAGTCCTTCTAATATGGTGAAACATGTTTTTAATTCAGATTGAGGTGTTGTGTATTTTCATTTTACTTTTGGATACTTAAATTTTTCTTTGTGCTGTTAAAAAAAATTTTTGATTTAAAAAAAAGTATTACACTTAAGTATTTTAAATACTCAGACTTGTCAAATACGATGTAATTAAATTTAATCTGTATGATATACAAAAGGAGGTTTTTTAAAAGGGATTAAAATCTGCATACTCTTGTTGTTAAATATTCCAGAAACATTTTCTTGTATGTTAATTTGCAGTGTTGAATGCAATTGCAGTATATGTTTACATATTGCATTATATTTGATAAAATGTCCAGCTTTCATAGGATTTTGTATTTGGAAATCTGCAGTTGTGCAGTCATAATTTATGCAGTTTGAAATATTTCTTATTTTTATAGTATTTTGTATGATAATTTTATCCTTCATGTAATGAAATTAAACTTATGTTGTACAGTTACTGACTTTAGTGTCTGTTTTATTATGTGAAACAGAAATTAAGAAACATTTATTTATGTATGTAATGATAGTATTCTTTTTAAGATGAAATGTGTCCTTGGTGCATACATGCGCCATTTTCAGTTTTGTCAGCATAATTGCATGTTGACAGAAAATGTTTGGAAGGAACATACTGTACTTTAATAGCTTCATTGATTTAAAAAAAAATCATTAAAATAAATCTCATTTCTAAATAAAATGATAAAATTTAAGGAAAAAAAATTATCTTTTTTATATAAACCATGTGATAGAAACTGAAAAGGGACACTTCAAAGTTGTCATAACTGTTACTAACGTTTCTTCTGCTTGCATTTATTTTATTTATTGTTTCTCCCTTCTGAAGAGGAATATCGAAATGAAAGTATATATTCCCCCGTTACTTGACCTGAAAAAATTTTCACATCTGTTAAGGCGTGTGATTTAAAACATCAGAAAAAGGCAAGCTTTTAAGTCATTTATGAAATTTTAATATTAATGAATTTCCGTTGCATCTGAGAATTCAAACATAAAAAAACAATTTTTAAATATATAAAAATAGCTCTTTCATTTTTACTTCTGCATTCTGATTTTTTCAGTTCATATATATATATATATATATAATTATAAAACAATTTATTTAAAAACAAATTATAAATGTGCTTAGTATTTTCACACTTTAAGCTGCTGAAAATTATCATTAAAGACATAATGCAAGAAATTTAGAACTAATGTTTCACAAATACCAAAAAATTTGAAATTTATAAATAATCCTATAAATGCAACAAAGAATTTAATAAATGTTAAAACTAAAACTTTTAAATAAGCAATATTCCAATTCAAAAATAATAATAATGAAATTTAAAGAAAAAAGGACATAACAGAAGATGAACTTCATCAGCCGGGAGAAACATTGAAATCTCTGTTCTACAAAAATCCTTGCTTTTTTATATCCAGAATCAGCCGACATAACATTATTAATTTTATGACAAACATTGCTGTTATGTTTTGATTTAAAAGGGGAGTATTCAGTAAAATAACATAAATAAAGCAATATTAAAAAAAAAAGAGGTTTAGGATTTTTTTTCATTAAATTTATAGTTTCAAGATAAAAGTATTTCATTTACTCCCATGTCACTTTTATTAAATTTTTTTTAAATAACTATCTTGTATAGAATCAGAAATCAAAATCCTTCAAAATTTTTGCTTGTTTGCAAAGTTAAACCTGTTTGTTAACTACTCAAATGTTTCAGTGAGAATAACTAAAATCAGAACACTGAAATGTTTAAGTCTAGAAATTTTACGAATAACTAGCAGTTCATTATAAAATCAAATTTCATGCTAGAATTCTTAGATATTGCCTTATTTCTTTACAGAAAGAGGATAAGAGAATTCAGGTTTATCTCATACCACAAGTGGTGTAAGCACATGAAGTTCATGCCATCTGTAAACTATTATGTTCAGTAAAAGGTTCTTTTACACCCTTTCCCTGCTGTGTTCATCTTCGAGTCTTCTTGAGGAGTTGCAAAGTAGACTTTTCAGTAGATCTAATTGCAGTCTATGTTAGCAAAGACTAGATCCTACAGAATAAGTGTAATAACATCATCATTAACATTAACTTTTATGCAGTAATAAAGCACTATTTATTTTTCATTTACATCTCTCTTTTTAATGACAAATGTGATTAGTTCAGAATAATATTTTGAGAATGATTATTTTAGATATTTATGGAAGGGAGGAAGAGATTAACTATTTCCCTATTCCAGTATAACTTTTTTTAATATCCCAATTTAATAACTTGCTAGGAAAAAAATCTTTTCACAAGAAGAATACTATGAATTTGATTGAAACTCTTAATGAATTATAACACTGAAAAATTCTTTTTAGGTGCCCTGAGTTTAAGACAGTAATATATGAAGTATCCTTGCTTTGGAAACATTTACGTATTTTCATTCAAAGTAATTTGTAAAGAAAAGACTCGCTTACTCAGGATTTTCCATATGCATAACATGAAGATGAGTCCATTTCTGGTAAGAGCTCTCTACGAACGAAGACAACTCTTCTGCTAAGGTCAGTTTTCATATGTTCTTACAATTAATCGAATCCCTATCTTCCTCGAAGTTAGATAGCCCAATCAAAAACATGATATTTTAATTAAAATTCTGAATCAGAGCCGCGTTTGTCTTCTAAACTATAACCCTATTATAGCTTTATTTCTGAAATAAGCATAATAAAGCTTTCTTCTTCAGGCTATATTGAGTAATATCTAGAACATAGTTGATCGTGAACTACAAATACGTCACCACAACGTTCTACATAGCTCATGTAAAATATTTTCCCTTTCAGATGTTATTAAAGACCAATATAATAAATTCAAATCATAATTCACAAGTCGTTATGAACATTACTGTAGTAATATAATGCCTTAAAACTGAAATTATTAAGCTGTATCAGGAATTATCCAGAACTGAACTGTTTGACTGTATCATAGAAAATTTCATCAGGTACACAGTTCAAAGTGTTATGTTTAAGGATACTTCTTAAACTGGAGAATCTGTTTGAATTTTTGCCTCAATAGAAAGTTACATCTTTGACAAGTATTCATTATTATAATATAATCAGGGCTTAATTTCTAAAAGTAGAAATGCCGGACCTCTATGGAAGCCCACCAGGAAAGAGGAACAAGAGTAAATAAATAAATAAAATGACTATTAAAATCATTAATAATTTAAAAATTAAATAGTCAATGAGTATCAAATTAATCATTCAAGTGATATGGATAATTCATATTTATTATTATTTATTTATTAAAGTAACCAAAAAATAAATCAAATGTGAAGAGATAAATTAAAATTTAATAAGTGATTTTTAATATAATTTTATTGCTAAATATAAAATTTTTGAAATGAAATTTCTACTGAAATAATTGTTCAGTTATATAAAAGAAGTGCCGAAGCGGCACTTCTTAATTAGGGTTCCGGCTAGAATTAGAATTCATCCCCAAAAACGAAGAAGTACCGGAGCCGGGCTCGGGCGCAATTTAAGCTGTGAATATAATGCCTGAATTGATGACAAGTGGGTTAAATAGCATCATGTAATTCTAATTAACATTGTAATATAATCAGAATGTTTTAAATTGGCAGATAGTTATCAAATACCATAAAATTTTAGAATATTGCATATGTTTATTGAATTCAGTAATAATCATATAAATACAAGTAAAATACTATTATTCACACTATATTGCAAAGTAGAATATTTTATGCAAAGAATTAAGAGAAATTCAAGGACAAAGCATCTTAACCTGCAAAAAAATAGAACAGCCTGTAGAGACATTAGGTTATTTTTATAGCAGGACTGATGAAAAATGAGCAGCGCCTTTGCCAGGAATCGAACCACGGACCTCTGGAATATGTGCCCAGAGTGCTGACCACTACATTACGAAGGCGGGAGAAATACCTTATATACTCTCCCTTTTGAAGAGCGACTAGGGATTTAGGGGATCCAATCGTCAAACCATGGGTGTGGAGAATCATCATCCACTACACCTTTTTTTAGTTTGGGCGCCAGTATAGAAACATTAGGTTATTTTTAAAGCTGCAGTAATGAAAAATGAGCAACGCCTTCGCCTGGAATCGAAACACGGACATCTGGAATACGCTCCCAGTGTGCTGACCACTGCATTAAGAAGGCGGGAGAAATACTTTATAAGTCTTCTGAAC